ACTACTACTACTACTACTACTACTACTACTACTACTACTACTTCTACTACTACTATTACCACTACTGCTACTTCTCCTACTACTACCACCACCACCACCATTTCTACTACTACTACCACCACCGCCATTACTACTTTCACTACAATAACTTCCGTCTTTTCTTTTACGTCGCCATTTAAAGGGTGGTTGCCTGTCGACTTTTTGGCTCATCACCAGAACATCAACAAACTCTAAATTACTCTACTTTTATTTCATGCTAGTTTAGGGACAGTGGGTCTTCTCTCGTCGACTCCCCCCCCCCCCCCCCGACTCCCCCCCCCCCACTCTCCACTCCACACAACACCTAATAACTTTCTAAGAGAGATGAGGACATCATATATATATATATATATATATATATATATATATATATATATATATATATATATAATGTGTGTGTGTGTGTGTGTGTGTGTGTGTGTGTGTGTGTGTGTGAAATTATATATTGATATTTAATTGATAATAAACAAAGCCCATGTACGCAAAATCAACACTTGCGAAATGATTTGTCTGAGAGAAGCAGCCAACCTAACCATCCGAGATCGAGTGAATAATGAAACTATCAGGCAAACTGTGGGAATGACATCTTGTACTAGATTCATCAAGAAACAGCAGATCAAGTGGTTTGGCCATCTTTAGAATGCAGCAAGATAAAATACCATCACAAGCGCTACATCTCAGAAGATCAGCTAAAAGAGTAAGGGGACGGCCGCGAAAAACATGGATCGACAACATTAAAGACACTCTACTTCTTCATGGCATGGAAATAGCCAGTGGCAGCCAGCGTGCACTTGATCGCAAACTATTCCTGTCCACGACGCTTAACGGCAGAAGTCGTTAATGGTGACGATGATGATGACTTTTTATCAGGTCGTTAATGGTGATGATGATGATGACTCTTTATCAACGTTGTGTCAGATTATTTTGCTCCCAGAGTAAATAACAAGAATGTACTTCTGCTCATTCGGGGTATATAAATGTACGATAATCCTTGCTCGTTTGCCTTTTAAGAGGTATATATATATATATATATATGTGTAACCAATCGATATTTCACGAGAACGTCTGTTTCTTGTGTTTGTACGGAAATTTTAATTAAGAGCACAAAAGGTGTTGCAGCGCGTTATACAAGTCGTTAATCCGGTTCCTCGTGATGTATTATGGTGTAACTTATACCGTATGCTAATCATTATTAAAAATAAACCAACTTCATAGTATACGCATCTCGTAGTTGTTCCCTACCTGTGACAACGATGTCGACATCGAGTGCCTATCACTGTACTCTATGAATAAAACAGACACAGATTGCAGACACAGCAAAACCAATAGCATATAGACTCTACATGCAGAAGGCAGCTGTCAGACATGCCAACACAAACAGTCTGACACTGGAAAACACACACACACACATAGATATATCGAGTCGCGTTACTTGGATTTGAGTTCGACCTAAGTCACGTAATTACCGATTTGCGACTTTATTTAGGGGTTTTGTCCTGCGACTCGCGTCTCGACTTGCGATTTGTAGCTTCAATATAAAAATATAGATCTAGCCCTATGTGCCAAATATGCCTTAAAGCGTTGAATAAGGACCTTTACTTTTTTTTTTTTTTTCGTTTTAATGTGTAGTTCAGTGAGTTTTTCGCATTGCCATTTCTTGTTTTGTATTGTCACCGTTTTTTTTTTTTTTTTTAACTGCTTTTGTTTGGGTTTAAGAAAAACTAACTAGTTTAATGCATAAGCATTGCCCCGTGCACGATTTGCAGATAACTTGTTGCATGAAATGACCTGAGTCGGGATTCCACTTGGAAGCATTCTTGGTGACTTGAGACTTGACTTGGGACTTGATGGTAGTGACTTAAGATTTGACTTGAAAGTTGATGGTAGTGACTTGAGATTTGACTTGGAACTTGATGGTAGTGACTTGGGACTCGATTTAGAAACATTTTTGAGACTTAAGACTTGACTTGGGACTTGATGGTAGGGACTCTGGACTCGATTTGGAGGAATATATTCCGAATACTGTTGAAGATTTATTGAGTTGAAAGTCCTGGTTTCAGCCAGACTCTAATTGCGGTCATGATACGAGCTAGATCCATAAGTTATCGAGTTTCCTGGAAGCAAAGCGTTAAATCTGTCGGCTTAAAGTTATTTCAGTTTGCTAACTTGCAGCCACTGAAGCCTGCGATTAAAAAAGGCAATCGCCCGATATAGGGTTTCAATGAAATAGTTGTTCGGCGATCGACATAAGGTAATGCATTGTACTACCACAGTCTTCAAAAGGTGAACCTCAAAGTGGCAATCTAGTTGAAGTGGCTTTCGCTAGCCGGAGCAGTGGATTTCAATGAAGGCGTTGCTGGAAATATACAACGCTATGTTTAACAATTTTCGCTTTGTACGTAGCGATATAACAAGGAAAGTACGGAAGCCTGTCTGGCTCATTAGTTACAAACGTTGACCCGGACCAGGACTTCGTGATCATGTGTACGGTAGCTGTGGCCAATCGTGTGTTTGTGTTGTAATTATTAGAAGGATGTGGTCAGGGGTAATGTTTACGGCGAAATAACGGAGATGTTTGGTTAATCATAGACTGGTTGTAAGTTTGCGGATTATTAATAAACATGAAAAAGGCGTGTGGTATTGTAAACCACATTTGAAGGATTGATATTAAACTGTACTTGTCTGTTGGTAAGTCTATTATTATTTTTTCTTTCTCTGTAAATAAGTAATTTGTCAGTAAACGATTCATGCTGTAATTGTAATAGACTTTTCTTAACTCTTTGAGTCCCAAGGAACGCATCATACGTTCATAGGTTCCTACCTAGAAGCCCAGTGAACGCATGATGCGCCGATTTTATTACTTTCTTTACTATCCCCTGGGCCTGTGATGCTAAACCCGCTAGGACTCTAAGAGTTAACGCAGGCGACTCTTGCTAGTCACTACACATGACATCGCCACGGGCTGTTGTTCCCATGCCTCCACAAAGCACAGTATAACACTGTCGTATGGAAAGAAGGATAGGTTCGATGGTTGATTCGTTCGTTATATAATTGGTCTGTTAATTCTTTAGTTAGTCGGTTAGCCCCTACGTTTTCATTATTTTAGGCAGTTTGTTCGTTTGCTGATTCGTTCGTAGGATGATTGGTTGAGTGGTTGGCTGGTTTGGTGGTTGGCTGGTCAGGTGGTTAGCTGGTCGACTGGTTGGGTGGTTGGCTCGTCGTCTGGTTGGGTGGTCGTCTGGTTAGGTGGTTAGCTGGTCGGTTTCTTGGGTGGTTAGGTGGTCGGCTGGTTGCCTGGTCGTCTGGCTGGGTGGTTAGCTGGTCGGTTTCTTGGGTGGTTAGGTGGTCGGCTGGTTGTCTGGCTGGGTGGTTAGCTGGTCGGTTTCTTGGGTGGTTAGGTGGTCGGCTGGTTGGTTCTTCTTTTATTGTCCGGTTGGCTGGTTCTTTGGTTTTTTATTTGGTTGTTTGTCCGAACTGTTGATAAATCGGCGGAAAGAGCATTTCAACTCGTGAGTCCGATGCACTGATGTTAGATAGTTTCATCTTGGTGTAACCTAAATGTGTGTTTTGGAGGAACGTTTGTACGGATCTCCTTCCTTCTTGTCTGCTACTATATATGTCGATCTGGTGTTCATATCAAAGTAAAGCACCTGTTTACACGCCTTCAAGCGTATTGGGTATATAGGGCTAGACCAATATCTTATAGACCAGTTATCACTCAAAGCGTGATGTGGTCAACATCCCACCAGACTCTTTTACTTCCCATGATTTGTACCTGGTTCTCACTCAAAGCGGGAGTCAATGTCATTCTTCAAAACAAAATGACCCGTTAGTTCAGATTCGAACCCAAACCTTCGGATAATGAGGCGACAGTCTAGTCGTTATACCACAGCGGTTCCTTCATATCATTTTAATTTAAATAATAACAGTTTGTCATTTCTCCCCAGCTCATTCACAACACGGCCCAATGACTGAACAAGACCCTGAAATCGTCGCAGTTCCTCGATACCGGGACAGCAGAAACGCCTTCCATCCTGGTCGCTACTTCCGGTCAAGCCTGTCCTACCCGCAGCGGAAAATCCCAGACAACCCCCGGCCAAGCCCTCGTGGATATGTGGCGGCCAGTCTCTCGGACAGCATGCACCGGCCAAAAGTAATCACTGTCATTAAAAATGGGCCAAAACCGCGAAACAACATAAAAATTCTCCTCAACAGAAGAACTGTCCAATCGTACGAACAGCTGATTGCGGATATCTCAGACGCGTTTGGGTCGAAGCTAGAAACGTATAAAGTTCGTAAATTGTTTACGGTGCGTGGAAGAGAGGTCCAGGGGATTTCCGATTTCTTTAGAGGTGATGAATACTTCGTGGCATTTGGAGTAGGAGAGGGAAGCTTATCGGAAAATGAGATTGTAGATGCCTTAGAAGAATTTTTCCAGGATTCCAGTGTAGCTAAGCGATTGCTACTGGATTGGAGAAAGAATGAAAGACGCCGGCAAAATATCAACCCTGAAAATCGGTTTTTAAAATCTAACAGGGACAACTTACACGGTCCAATAGAGCAGTTGACCGCTGGTCAAGGGCAGGATAAGCGGGACAGTGGGTTCGATTCTGGGGATATCAGTACAAATATTTCAGAAGTTGAACAGATGGACAGGCTGGATGTTTTAGCTTTAAGGAGAAGGAATATGATGAATAGAGCAAGCGAGAACGATCAGGAAAACAAAAGCGATATTAATAAACTCTCCCAAGAAAGGCGCGCTCGTTTTCTGAACAGTCTGAAGCCAAAGAATGTAAGTAAAGGAGTATTGACAGCAAGAAACGAAGACATTGCCAGGTTAAAGGAGAAGAGATCAGTTTTGCCCGAAATTGAAAGGAAAATCGCCGCTGTTGAAAGAAGAAGGAAATATGATGTACCTTTGAGAATCCATGACAATCATCAGAGGATAATAAATGATTCAGGAGTTACCAACATAAAAGGTGGAGTATTTGTGGGAAAAGAAACAGGAAATAATGTGGAAAAGAGGAATAACGAAGTTCATGGAAATGCACTAGATTTAGAAACTTCGGAACTATTAGTAAAAATGAATGATAAAACGATACAAGAGACATATTTACAAGAGAAAGAAGTAGATGAAAGGAATGGTATTGAGCAAGTACATATTAGTACTAATAAAAGACCAGAAACAGACTTTGAACTTCGTAAGAAAGATGTTTTAGAACAGGCAAGTTTATCGAGGGAAGTGAGTGCGATTGTGAATAATGCCATTAACAAAAGTGTGAATTATAACAAAGTGCAAGATAGCTCTACAGAAGCCGTTCCAGTAGTTGGAACACAAATCATTCCGGCAGATGTGCCTCAGACAACTCCAGCACTTATTTCGGAATCCATTCCTACAGTTTTGTCACAAACAGCGAACACTGCAGTTCCATCAGTGCCTGAATACACCCCACTACAGGCAAACACAAAAGATAAAAGCAACAACCAAAAAGAGAAACGAAAGCAAGATCGTGAAGACCAACAACAAAGGAAACGAGTCAAAACTAGGATTGTTCGTAAAACGAAATTACAGCGACAAGTTAGCAGTGACGATTACGTTTTTTCGCTCTATGAGGTGGGACGTATACTCGGCGATGGTAATTTCGCCGTTGTTCGCCACTCTCGTAAGAAAGAAACAGGTCAGGAGTTCGCCATAAAAGTTATAGACAAGGCGAAGTTGAAAGGGAAGAACCATATGGTGGAGAATGAGATAGATATTCTCAAAGACTGTTGCCACCACAATATCGTCAGGTTATTTGAAGAGTATGAGACAGCCAGTCGTATCTACCTCGTCATGGAGTTGGTCAAGGTAAGAGCTGTGACGATACTTGTTATAGTAAGTAATAGTAACAGACGCTTTTCCACACCTTTAGGCGTATTAGGCACATAGGGCTAGACCTATATTTGTATAGACCAATCGGCACTTGGTGGGTGATGTGGTCAGCATCACGCCGGCCACCTTTACTTCTCAGGACTGCACCTGGTACCCACTCAAGGCTGGGTCGACCTGAGAGATACTTGTAATTAGGTTACCTTTCTTTAGCTCCTCCTAGTATGCTGCAGTCAAGGTCAAAGATGTTAGGATACTTGTTCTAAATCTACTTTTAACTCTTTAGCTCTTGGTATACTGTAGTATGATAAGAGATGTAGGGATACTTGTTTGAAAGCTACCTTTTACTCTTTGGATCCTTGTAAACTGGGTTAATGTTAAATATGTAAGGATACTTGTTTTAAGGCTACTCTCAACTCTTTATATTCTAGTATGCTGAAGTCAAGGCTATGGGTGGGTGAACACTTGTTTTAAGGCAAACTCTTTAGCTCGCTATATAGTGCAGTATTGTAGAGACTATGTGTTGCCCATACAGAATTATATGTCTGTCTGCCTATCTCTCTTTCTCTGTAGCTCTCTCTATGTCTGTGTGTGTGTGTCTTGTCTCGCATGTCTTATTTACTCCAAAGAAAAGGTAATACCAGTACCCATGGAACAAAGAACGCTACAGAAGCGGCTATGTCAGAAGAGGAGTTCTTTGATTATCCCCCTTTGGGAGCTTCTCTCCTAGATCAGCTGCCAAACACAGCTAAAGGGCCTGGTTTCCCTTGACATAACCTGACGTTTTTAGACTGCATGTCCTCTTCCTAGCAGAAGACAGCAAAACATCAAATTGTCTGCCAACAGGGAGAATACCTTGTGACGCCATACAATGCAAGGGATACACCAGAAGAGATGGAACAAGAGCACGAGGTAGACCAGGAGCACAATGGAAGGAAAACATCAGATAAACTCTGCAACAGAACAAGGGCCCTATGGTCCAGGCGGCCAGAAAAGCAGCAAGATGCAGAACCTTATATCTCCCTGCACACCCAAAGCGGTAAAGGAGGAAGTGAAGAATAAGGAAGAGGAAGAAGAGAAGAAAGAACAGTAAGGAGGAGGAGGAGAAAAAGGAAAAGAAGTACGACGAGGAAGGGGAGAAGGATGAGATGCAGAACCTTATATCTCCCTGCACACCCAAAGCGGTAAAGGAGGAAGTGAAGAATAAGGAAGAGGAAGAAGAGAAGAAAGAACAGTAAGGAGGAGGAGGAGGAGAAAAAGGAAAAAAAGTACGATGAGGGAGGGGAGAAGGATGAGGAACAGACGGAGAGGAAGAGAAAGAGAAGGAGGAGAGGAAGAGAAAGAGAAGGAGGAAGACAAGTAAGAGGAGGAGGAAGAGAGAGAGAGGAGGTGGAAGGAAACCTGTAATTTGTCACTTACTACCACAACTGTTGGAAAAGGGGTGGGTGGAAGAGGGTGGGGTGGGGGGGGGGGGGTTGTGGGTTTGTTCTTTCCCCCTCAAAACAGGGCCTAGATCCCACAAGGGAGAAAAAACATAGATATAAAAGCACATATTGTAGCAGGTAGCTTGATAATTATGGTACATTATCTCAGTCGGCGTCCCTGCACTTTGGTCATTCCCAGGCGTGCTCAGTGCTCCAACAGCCACCCCCCAAGGCTCCTCTACTGACTGTTTCCATGAAGAAGCTGGTTATAGTATCTTGATCTCGGTCTCAAAGGCGGCTTAGACGTGCATCACCATGCTTCCCTACCATGCCACGCAGTGTTGTTTTTGAGTCATAGCTTGACAGCGGACGTCTGAATGCCTTTTGTCCTACGTAAGCAAGAACATAAGGAACACAGAGAGATAATATCGATAGCAATTGTGGGTCAGTCGTTCACTGGCGGAAGGTATCGATTGATCTAAGACGGAATGCTATGTGGAAAAAAAAAAGGCTTTTATCTTGGGGCGTATCATGTAATAAATCCCGTTTGTTGGAGGTTAGAAACAGAATTCGTGTTATGTATATACCTGTCTGCTGTATATGTACGTTTATATATTCTTGCGTGTGTGGAGGTGTTAGGGAGATGTGTGTACGTGTTTATGTCTAGCTAGTGTGTACATATATGTGTTGGTATCTGTGGTGGATTTTCGTTTATTTGTCCATATGTTCGTGGTACAACAGGTTCGTTAGTTCATTTTGAATGTAATTATTGAGATGTTTATGCATCAGTGTGTTCGTGAATAAAATGATGGGGAGTGTAAGGTGACAGGTAAGGTGGAAAGATAGACAGGCGAGGAGAGAAAGAGTAGGGTAGGGAGGTATGTGAAGAGGAGAGAGAATATTGGAAGGAGGAGGGTAAAGATTATTAGGAGGAAAAGCAGTCATTGAGGAGAAGGTATCGAATGGGGGAGAAAATAAATAAGAAGAAATGAATATTGGAAATTTGAAAAGCAGGTATTGTGAGAATGAGGGGAGGTATACGGAAAGAGGAGAGGGAAGGGGAGGTATTGGAAGGGAGAGGAGATATTTGAAGGAAACATAGGATATAATGGGGGATAAAATAAATGTGGGGGAAAGGGTATTGGAAATTTGAAAAGCAGGTATTGTGAGAATGAGGGGAGGTATACGGAAAGAGGAGAGGGAAGAGGAGGTATTGGAAGGGAGAGGAGATATTTGAAGGAAACATAGGATATAATGGGGGAGAAAATAAATGAGGGGGAAAGGGTATTGGTAGGTTAAAAGGCAGGTATTGTAAGGAGGAGGAGGTATAAGAAAAGAAGAGAGCAAATAGAAGGTATTGTAAGGTGGAGGAGATATGTGAAGGTAATATAAAACGATACAAGATAAAGGTGGAGAACAAAGTAGGAAAGGAATGCAAGAAGAGGAGAGGAAAGAGAGGGAGAATAAAATAATTGTCATATTTTGTAATCCAACACCCGAATACACTGTAGGGTGGAGACCTGTTTGATGCCATCACACAGAACGTCAAGTTCCCAGAGGTTGAATCGGCACTGATGGTCAAAGATCTCTGCAACGCCCTTTTCTACATGCATTCTCGGAGTATCGTACACAGGGATCTGAAACCGGAGAATTTGTTGGTAGGTCGTTTTCTGATTTGTTCATGTGTATTCATCTGCTGGTAGGTCATGTCAATGGTTCATTTTCTCTTTATCTGCTTGTAGGTTATGTATGCAAACTGTTGGTTCTTTGCCTGTCAGGCAGATGTCTCCCGATTTCGAAAAATGCCCTAACTTAGGCGACTCTTAGGACATTTTTGCTAGAGAGGTAGTGGATTGATTTTTGTTTTCCCCACAACGGTGCCACGGAATCAACGCTGCCAACAATCATGTTATAAAAGTCGACTTAAGCTTTTGCTTAAATCAGATGTTTTGGGACCAAGTCGCAGATATCGCAGTCTATCGGTAAAAGATAGAAAGAGAATCCAGACGCGAAATTTCGATAGGAATATCTCCATCTTTGGGGAGTCGCCGTGACGTAGCGGCTGGACGCCCGCGTATGGATCGGAAGGTCGTGGGTTCGCTCCCTGGTGGAGCCGGAATTTTTTCAAAAATAACCTTGACTTCCAGGTCGACCTAGCCTTAAGTGGGTACCGGGTGCAGTCCTGGGAAGTAAAGATGGCCGGTGTGATGCTCACCCCATCACCCATCTTGTGCCGATTGGTCTATAAAAGTATAGGTCTAGCCCTATATACCCTATAGACCTAAAGGCGTGGAAAAGGGACCTTTACTTTATATTTTCTTCTTTATGTTCGGGTTTGGTTTTCTATGTTCGGCTAAGATCGTCAGGTTGGCTGCCTCTGTGAATTCGTATGTTGGTTTCGTGTTCTGAATATAAAAATACAGAATATGTTCTTGATGTTCTTGTAGGAATAACATATTTTCTTTGTGTCTCGCATAGTGTGACTAAAATGGGACTGGTTAAGGAGACAGAGGGCTTGTTGTACTGCTCTTACGTTCCCCTAAAATCGGATGCAGTTAGACCAGACGTTGCTTATTGTGTGAGGTCATACATGCTTCTACTTAAAGCGCTTGAACTTTTTGAAGACACAACTCGTATGACCTGCCATATAATGTCAGGATTAGCATATAGATTTAAAGTAGATATACAGCTTTACAATACCTCAGACACAAACAAGTGAACTTTGCGAATATAAAGCCTTCCTCAGCACATACAAAGTATACAATACACACAAAAAAATCCCTCAACTGAAAGGTCACATTTGAAAGGTCACATTTGTTTCCTGGCCATTAGAATGAAAAGACACGTATGTGGCCGCCATGAAAAAATACTGGCCAGAAAATGGCCTGAGCAACAAAGGAAGTTAAAAAGTCTGATTAGGATTGAAGGTGACAACTAGTTGATGTAGACTTTACGGGTTTCTAATTATAAATTCTTAGGGGGTTGAATAGGGTATTTGGGATCTGCCGTCGTCAACTGCCATCAAGATTGCAATTTTAAAAAATTTCTGAATAGTATGTTAAACCCATAGGTAGCAGTATGGAAGGGACAAACCGATACGATTGATCGATCGATCAGTATATCAGAGCAGAGATCCCATCTGCGATCTTCAACTGCCTGTGTCATTGAATGTACTGGCATCCACCCATGCCATAACTAAAGGTTGTTACTAATCGTTTCGCATTGTCTCCCTCTGTCTCTTTATCAACAGATCTTTCCCGTGGTCATGACATATTCTAGTTTCTTTTTTTTTTTCTTTCTTTTTTTTTTTTTTTTCATTACATCAGCAACAACAACAAAATTAATAGTGTCTCTTTCGGATGTTTGTGATAAGTTGTCTTCGAGCCCTCGCCTCTTTAAAAACAGCTGTGTAACTTACCGTCCTTTTTAGGATGAAATTTTTTGTTATTTGAAGCCCTACTCTGGCTCTTGCCAGGGTCCGCAATATAGCCTGGCCATAAATATGGTCTAAATGCTGAAAGCGGTCTCTGGGACCTCTCCACGGTGATCCTCACCCACATGCTGGCACATTGTGTCATCGGGTGTTTATCGCTTGTGTGATGTCCTGGTGGTGTAGAAAGTCAGTCAGTCAGTCAAAACATCTGTGTTGCTCTGTTTTGGCTACTAAAGAATTATAAGGTTTCTTCTGTAAAAGAAAATCTCCACTGTCTCAAGTGATTGTGTGTGTGAGTGTGTATGTGTGAATTTGTTTCTGTGCGTCTGTGTCTGCGTGTGTGTGTATGTTTTGTATTTCTTTTTTTTCCCCTCTAACCTGAAATAACATGGATGTATTGCATAAAATGTTCTTCATTTTATAAACTAGGTTCAGCGTGACCTGTTATGTTCTTTATATCTGCCATACGTCTTCCATCAGATGTTAGCCGTGGGCCTAAGTCCTTAAGTTTCTGTACGTCCTAAAACTTGTAGTTTACATTCAGGCAGTATTCTTTTAATTGCTATTATCGTCACTTCTGTCTTCCAGTTATTCAAGATGACTTCCATGTTATCACTTTCTACACTCGGCATGCTAGCTAAGTTGGTTAAACCAGCTGCGCTGCAACTGGGTGACAGACTCCTTGTGGTCCAAGTTCACACTTGGGGGTAGGCAGAAAAACTGTATATTTCCCATATTTATGGTGTCTATCATGGAATCAAGGCCGAAGGGTTGCGATATCCATAGTAGTGAGGCAAAGGGTTTACAACTCATGGCTTCTGAATCAAAAAAAAAAAAAAAACTTTCTACCACCCCCGTTTCTATAAATCCTTGTTCTTTTTCCTGAATTGTCGCTATCAAGACGGTGTGCTGTGCACAGCGAGGACCTTTTATGTTATAATAGCAACAGATGCATTGCAGAAGGTATTTGACAATATGAGGAGACACATACAATCATATGTTGTAACCCATTGTGAGCATTTCAAAAAATCTATTATAACGAAAATGTCAGTGCATCTTTCTAACCCCCCCCCCTTTTCCACCCCAAGAAAAAAAAACACAGTCGTAGACCATAGCAGTAACTATTGTGACTAACTTAATGACTGTATAGCACATTTTGTGATATTTTACTTTTAAATCAAATTGTTCTGAATGCAAAGTGTAGTGAGACTTTGCAAACACCCTCTGTATTCACTGTCTTTATAATAAATTTAGTTGTGAATCCTTTACAGGACGTTGCAGAACCAGCCCCAGCATTTTTTGTCTGTTGTTGTTTTTCTAAGCAAATTTACATTCAGTAGTTTGTCATTGCTTTCTCGATGGTTGGCTTCTCAAAACCACTGTCGATATCAATGCAAGGCCTGCAGCTGTGATCGAACTTGACAATCTGGCATTATAAAGCGTGTTCACAATACCCAAGCCACAGAGGCATTCGCTGTATAATGAAAACAAATCTAGCGGTAGTCCTAAATACAGAGGCTCTTTGGGTGATGACTATTTTTCTCTTTACTCTTCCATGGAAAGGTTCACAGAGGTAAAGATGGAAGGATCACTCTCAAGTTGGCAGACTTTGGGCTTGCTATGGAAGTCAAACAGCTCATCTACACAGTTTGTGGTACTCCCACTTATGTGGCTCCAGAAATACTCTCTGATACAGGTGAGAGTTTGTTGATTGTTTGGCTGGCTGTTTGTTTCATTCGTTTGTTGATTGGTTGTTTGGTTGGCTGTGTGTTTCATTGGTTGGTTAATTGGTTATTTGGTTGGCTGTTTGTTTTATTGGTTAGTTGATTGGTTATTTGGCTGGCTGTTTGTTTCATTGGTTGGTTGTTTGGTTGGCTGTTTGTTTCAGTGGTTGGTTGAATGGTTGTTTGGTTGGCTTTTTGTTTCAGTGGTTGGTTGAATGGTTGTTTGGTTGGCTTTTTGTTTTATTGGTTGGTTGATTGGTTGTTTGGTTGGCTGGTGAATCTTCAGGAAGTGAGTTTTACAAATGGAAATTGTCCGGTACCATTTTCTACTGATTAAATCCAAAATGTTTATAACTTTTCTTCCCTTACATTTGTTATTGTAAAAACATTTCTCTGGTTATTTTCAGGCTATGGTCTGGAAGTGGACATGTGGGCCGTGGGAGTGATAACTTACATCTTGCTGTGTGGCTTTCCCCCATTCCGATCACCTGACAGAAACCAGACAGAGTTGTTCAAGTACATCAAGACTGGAGATTTCAAGTTTATCTCTCCCTACTGGGACAACACATCCAGAAGTAAGTCATTGATCATCACGTTGCTGGTTCTGTCTGCTTGCTAAATCTGAGTATCTCATCAGCTCTCCTGCCTCATGCAATTATATCCTAGGCCCATCTTTGTGCTGGTCAACTTCTGCCTCTCTTGCCCGGTACTGTGCCCTTTTCCACTGTTCTTTCTATTCCACCGAGACACTTGATTTTGCCAAATTGATTCAGTTTCTGAAAAAAGACGCTGTTTAACGAGCCTATCGTCCTTGATGATCACATCTTTTAGGACGTCAGTATTTTTTTTCTTTTGTGTCCATGATATTCTAAGAATCTTCGTGCAGCATTTCAGTTCAGCAAGTGGCTTGACCGCTTCACCTTAGAGACCCTCAACCACCTCACTCCCCTTTTCCATATTATTTAAACAAAGAAGACAGAAATAACAGATGGCACGGTTTATTTCCTGGAATATTTTGGTGTATCTCTAGTGTATAGCATTAAATTAAGAAGATAAAGCAAATAAATAAACTTGAGGTCTATTTTGTAGACCTTTACAGGACGTTGCAGAACCAACCCCAACAGCCCCTGGCTGTTGTGTGGTTTTTCTAGGCAATTTACGTCCAGTAGTTTGCCATTGCTTTCTGGATGGTCAGCTTTCTTGATACCACTGTCGAAACCAACACAAGGTGCATGGCCAGCAGCTGGGATCGAACCCGGCATCCTGGTATTACGAAGCGTTCGCATCGACTTAACCGCAGAGCCTACCAATTTGATAGATTAGTCTCTAATTTGAGTGGAATGTCTTTCTTGTAGCTCTGTAGTAAAGTAAAGGACCCTTGTCCATGCAAATTGGGCATATAGGGCTAGACATGTATTTTATATTCCAGTCGGCACTTAGTGGGTGATGTGGTCAACATTTTGTCGGCCGCCTTTACTTCCCAGGACTTTACCTGGTACTCACTCAAGGCTGGGTCAACCTGGGAGCCAAGCTCATCTTTGAAAAAAGTCCAGCTCAGTCAGAACTTAACCTCACTGCCTTCAGATCTGTAGGTGATAGTCTAGCCACTACACCACAATGGCTTCCAGTTCATCCAGTATTTCCTTGAATGTCTGCCTTGTCGTTGATCAATAATTTTACTTCAATATCTTGTGTTACATTCTCTGTTATATCGGTCAGGCAGATGATAATAGTCTTACATTTTTTATACCAAGTGGCACAACAAGGGATGAGGTCAGCATCACAACCATCTACCTTTATTTCCCAGTATATTTTCTTGTACCCATTTTAGGCGGTGTCAACTTGAGAGCCAAAATCAGTTTTAAAAATAATCTTGTCTTTTTGTGGAATTGAGCTAAAAATCTTTGGGAAATCTTCTAGCTGGTAGACTTGAGTGGCCTCCCAGTGTTGTATATAAATGTTGTCATAAATTTCTTCTGTTCGCGTCCTTTTTAGGATGAAACTTTTTGTTATTTGAAGCCCCACCCTGGCTTTTGCGAGGGGCCGCAATATAGGCAGGCCATAAATATGGCCAATTTTCTGAACGCGGTTTCTGGGACCTCTCCACGGCGATCCTCATCCGCATGGTGGCACTTGGTGTCATCGGGTATTTATCGCTTATGTGATGTCCTGGTTGGGTAGAAAGTCAGTCAGTCAGTCTTCTGTTCTTCTTCTTTACGTTCACTGGCTGTATAATCTAACAGAAAGTTCTGTTTGTTCATTTACTTTTGGGCTTTAGTCTTGTTCCATAAGTTGAGTTTTGCGTGCACGTGTGATTTACAGATCTGGCTTATATGTATGCAGACTGTTGATTCCTTGCATCTCAGCCAGAATGCACTTTGATTTTGAAGAAAACACCCCTAATTAGCCGACTCTTGTGACATGCTTATTAGGAGGCAGTGGGTCTGTTCTCCGCCTCACCCCCCCCCCCCCCCTTACAATAGGGTCTCTGAACCTACATGTGGATAATTATCATTTGACTGGAATCCTTATGGGGGTCAAAAAGCCCTAATTTAGAGAAGACAGGTTAAAGATAAGGTTAAAAGTCAAAAGGATCCACTTCATTGCATCGGGTTTTACCCTATACAGCTCAGTCCCTCTCCACAGAATGCTCAACTGCCTGCCTGAGGTTGTCACCCAAGGCATGAACTCTGTAGCTCATGTCACAATCCTCAGGGGTCTTACCTACATAAATTTGTGCCAATTTGAACAGTCAGCTGTGTAATGAACCGACCACCTTCAAAATACAAGGCAAACAGCTTGACCATCTCAATGTGAGGAATAATCGCACTGCTCTTTAATAAACTGTTTGTAAATAAAACCACACCACAATATGTTATCTGCCATCTTGAGAATGCTGCATACAGAAGAAGAAAAAATAGAAGAAGAATTATGAATGATAGATCGACGAGTTTGTTTCCCTCAAGCAGCTAACTTATTGTTTACAATACCATTCTGAGATTTAAAACAAAATCTTGATCTGGATGGCAGACCAACAGTGCAGATTCAAGATAGCCTGTTCAGCCTACAAAAAAAAGGTAATTAGGGCATCTATAATGGCTACTGAATAAGTTATGGAGTGGGACCGACAGAACTACAAAAATTAGATTTCTAAGAGCATGCATCTTTCCCTGTGTGACAAATGACTGCGAAGACCTGGACACTTACTAAACAAGCTGAACAGTGCATAAATGCCGTTCAATACAAATGTTATTGACGGGTTTTAAGAAAATCAAGGGAAAGACAAGAACAAGTGCATCTATACTTCAAAAACTGAATATTGAAGAAGGTTGGCTATTAGAGATGATAAAACACAGAAAATTAAAATATTTTGTCACTTGAAACGTCACGAAAGTTGAGAGAGAACGATAATGGAGGGGTATATCCCTGGGAAGAGAGGAATAGGAAGGCCAAAAAGAAGATGGCTGCAGGAATGGTGGATGATCTCCGTATGGGTGTATTGGGCGTGGCCATCTTGTTTATGATCAGAAAGTTTTCTAGAGGGTTGTTATGGAAGCAAGATTCTGCAGAGGACATGTTACTGACTGACTGACTGACTGACTGACTGACTGACCGACTGACTAACTGATTGACTGACCATAATGGCTACACCAGCCAGGTGTCACTTGCATTCCCATGTGGGTGAGGACAAAAGTGACAGGATTTGACAGGAATTTATGTATTGTTGATTCAACTCTCATGTTGCAGGTGCCAAAGACCTAATCAGTCATCTCTTGGTGGTAGACAGAAAGAAGCGGTACACTGCCACCGACGTGCTGTGCCACAAGTGGGTTCTGTGTGGGGGTCAGATCGATGTGGTCCCTGAAGGTGCCTTGACAGTTGATGCTGCTGTCCGACAGACCCGCAGGGAGCTGGACATGCAAGCCAAGTTGAACCACGAGAGTTACCAAAGGTTGAAAGAGAAGAAAAAACAAGAGATGGAGAAGAAAGAAGAATAGGGCATTGTTGTTTGTGATGTACAGGTTTTACTAATGATGCCTGGCTTTCAGTCAGTATGGTGGATAGAAAGACTTACTGTTTTTAATCATTACAAGTTTTTGTTTCTGATAATAGCTAGCTGTTGCATTTTCCCCCATGTGTAGACTGAAAAGATATAGTTCCATTACCAACTACTGAGTTGAGTGCATGGCACAACACTGTGAGCTGCAGATTTCATTTGGAATGCTTCTCAGCTGTGTCTAATATGGTTTATGTTTCTGAAATTCAGATTAAGAAAATGGCAAATGGCTGGTGCTGAAGAAATTGTGGTGCCTTATGCAGTCAATTGCACTTGCAGCTATTGATCTGTTGTAACTGATGTTTTCCTTAATGATTAACTGCATTTCTAGAGTTGGACTGTTTGACTGGGCAATTCTGACTGCTACTGTATGGATTCAATGCACATGTGTGCTGCTGGCTTTGCTAAGATTGCAGTTTATGCCAGTTATTTGTACAAGGGACAAGACAGCAATGAGACATTTCCATAAGCGCTCCATCCTCATATTCAAAAGTTTGCACAGTGTTAAAAAAAATGCATTTCCTTGTTCAAGAAACTCTGAAATTTGAAGAAAAAAAAATATATCAGATTTTATCTTTCACTATGCACAATCATAAAATTCATTTGGTGTATGAATATGTAAAGCTTAACCCATATGTACATATTATATATTGTATTATTCATAGATGTTTCTATATGTAAATGTTTATCTTTGTGCAAATGAAAACCATTGTCTGCAAATAAAAATATTTATTGAGTTTTTCTTGGATGACTCTCTCTGTGCACATACAGCAGAGTGCATGTATATTTTTAGTGTATATTTTTTATGATTGTATCTATCAATGCACATACATTTTAAGTTTAAATATTAGATAACTGTTTATCTGTGTATATAACCAAAAGAGTGCATACATATATTTTGATTATATATGTTGATGACTGTATCTGTCTGTGCAAATACAGCTAGAGTGTTTGCACATATATTTTGAGTTTATATGTGTAGTGATAAATTTATAAACATATATGAACCAATGAAAACTATAACCTAATTTTAATAAGCTGGACATGTAGTCTAACTTTTTTAGTGGAATTGAGAAAGAAATGTCTTGAGCTTCATAGACCCAACACTGATGTATGGAGTTCCAACCCAATATGGAGGACTAGGCATGACAGATTGTCTAGCTTTGAAGTTATTATTGCTTCCGACAGCACTTTGCTAATGCAGTTTCCACATTTGGGTGAAGTCAACGATTTCACTGCCTAAGCTACTGAGTTAAGTGCTTGGCTCAGCACTGTGAGCTATTTTTTTCATGTGGAATGCCTTTCAGCTGTGCAGTAGTTGAGTTATGGCCAGTAGCTGGCTTACATGCAGGCTGGTGAATTACCTTATGTAATAATTTTGCATCTGTATGGCAACTTATTGTGCCTGACTACTTCTATCAACTGCATTTCTGATGGCAATTATTGGCTCTGGCACCTCTGGCAACTGCTGTATGCATTTACTGCCTGTGCATATTTCTGGATTGTTCCGGAACTTATTGTTTGTTCACTAATTTTTCAGATGGACGGTGAGCGACATTTGTTCATTTGATTTTTACTGGCACAGGAACAAATCAAGTATTGCGTGACCTGATTGCGGAGGCTTATCCACAGAACTCACCCCCACACCCTCCCTCACCGGCCATGTGGATTCTTGGGCCCCATTAGAGGTGGGGGTGTGGGTTAGGGTGGGGGGGGGGAGGCGGCGCAAGGGTAGACCCACTGCTTCCCAAGAGGTATGTCATAAAAGGCAACTCCCTGGGGGGTGTTTCTTTTGAACTGGAAGTGCATTTGCCTGAGAGTCGAGACACTAACAGTCTGCAAACATGTAGGTCAGTCTGTAAAATGAATGTGCATGCAAAACAAGACTAAAACCCAGAAGTGGATGAACAACCAGAACTTTCCACAAGAGTTTTCAGCTGGTGTACACAAAGGAGAAAAGAAGAAGAACACATTTAAGGGATCCGTGATATCATTTAGAAAAGAAAAAACCTCAGCTTTAGAAAAAATCCTTTTGTGTGTGATTCTGGTATGCATATATATATATATATTATAATAGATTCTTCACTGAGTTGAGTTCAGTTGAGTCAAGATTTGACATCACTGCACTTTGGGCATTCCCATGTTGTCTGCGTCCTCAACTTCAGCAGCCAGCGCAGAGTTCCAATTAGAATCTTCACTATGACTGTTCACAAATGTAGGGTCTTTGGCAGACCAGCAATATGAGCTTCTGCAGGCCTTGGCTAACTGGAAGTTTCTGGATGAGAAGAATGAGAAAAAAAAAACAGATCCTCAGTGGACAGTTACAATTTTATTTGTCACTATCTTGTAGAGAGACACATACATTGTCATAGTATTTTACTGTTATGAAATTTCACTGTTATTGTATTTTACCGTCTTGTTTTTGCTTTGTCACAGTATTTCACAATCATGACAGTTTACTAACTGACCTAATGTTTTACTGTCATGTTATTTTACCGTTGTGGGATTTTATTGTTACATTTTTATGAACACTGTGTATTTATAAGAGTAGTGGTAACATGCATCTTCCCTGTGGCTACATACAGGTGTAAGTCGTGGACTACCTCTCAGTCCTTAAAAAAGAGAATAGGGGCTTTTGAGCTGAAATTCTATAGAAAGATTCTCAGCACATATTGGACAAAGAAAAGGAGAAATACTGACATCTTGAAAGATCTGAACATCAAAGAAGATTGGCTAGTAAACAGCATCCTGTCTCAGAAGCTGAAATATTTTGGTCATATTTAGCGCCATGACAGATTGGAAAAACATTATAGCAGAAGGCATGGTACCAGGAAGGAGGGGCAGGGGCTGACCGACACGAAGAGGGGTGTATGATATAAGTGACTCCTTGAGTGTGAAAGTACATGAGGCGAAAGAACTGGCGAGAGACCGAGTTTCTTTCAGGCAGACTATGATGAGAGCGACATTCTGCAAAGGACCTGCTACATGATAATGATGAGTGTTAACATACAGGATTGTATGCTTACCTGCCCATATGTCTTGGGTTAAAAAAAATTTTTTTTTTTTCAACTGATTTTTAGCTCTCAAGTCGACCTAGCCTAAAATGGGTTCCGTGAAATGTCATGGGAAGCAAAAGTAGCCAGCATAATTTTGACCACATCACTCCCTAAGGGCCGACTGGTCTGTATAAATATGACTCTGGCATCATATGCCTACTGGGTCACTAGCCTAAAAACTTTCTTTATTTCTTTTATTTCCTTACTTTTACTATTTTTTGTATATGCTGTTTATCTCTTCTTTTTCTTCTACTTTGATTCTTCTGTCAGAAATCTTATATCTAAGGTCAGTAACCTTTATGAAAGCTGTCATACACTCCATTATCTCTCATTAAAGAGCCCTTTATTTTTGTATTTTTACTGTTTCCTACATGTCAGCTATTCTTCATTGAAAAGTTCCTCCTCCTCTTCTTTTCCTAACCTTCTGCTTCTCTTCTTCCTTGTCTTCTTCTTCTTCTTCTTTTTCTTCTTCTTCTTCTTCTTCTTCTTCTTCTTCTTCTTCTTCTTCTTCTTTTTCTTCTTCTTCTTCTTCTTCTTCTTCTTCTTCTTCTTCTTCTTCTTCTTCTTCCTTGTCTTCTTCTTCTTCTTCTTCTTCTTCTTCTTCTTCTTCTTCTTCTTCTTCTTCTTCTTCTTCTTCTTTTTCTTCTTCTTCTTCTTCTTCTTCTTCTTCTTCTTCTTCTTCTTCTTCTTCTTCTTCTTCTTCTTCTTCTTCTTCTTCTTCTTCTTCTTCTTCTTCTTCTTCTTCTTCTTCTTCTTCTTCTTCTTCTTCTTCTTTTTCTTCTTTCTTCTTCTTCTTCTTCTTCTTCTTCTTCTTCTTTTCTTCTTCTTCTTCTTCTTCTTCTTCTTCTTCTTCTTCTTCTTCTTCTTCTTCTTCTTCTTCTTCTTCTTCTTCTTCTTCTTCTTCTTCTTCTTCTTCTTCTTCTTCTTCTCCTGCTTCTTCTTCTGGTGCTGCTTATTCTTATTCTGATGTGTCTTCTGCTGTTTTTCCTCTTCTTTTTTTTTTTTGGTGCATCTTCTGCTGCTCCTGCTTCTTCTTCTTCTCCTTCTGCTGTTTTTTCTTTTTCTTTTGGTGCATCTTCTGCTACTTCTGCTTCTTCGTCTTCTGCTGCCTCTTCGTCTTCTCCTGCTTTTTTTCTTCTTCTTCTGGTGCGTCTTCTGCTGCTTTTTTTTCTTCTTCTGGTGCGTCTTCTGCTGCTTTTTCTTCTTCTTCTGGTGCGTCTTCTTCTGCTTTTTCTTCTTCTTCTGGTGCGTCTTCTGCTGCTTTTTCTTCTTCTTCTTGTGCGTCTTCTGCTGCTTCTGCTTCTTAGTCTTATGCTGAGTCTTTTATTGCATCTTCTTTGATCCTTCTGTCAGAAAAATTATATCAGGAGGCCGGTGGCATTTTTTAAAAGCTGATGTGCAGTCCATATCTTCCTGTGTACCATACCGCTTTCTCTTCATTGTGGTTGGAACAGGCCAGACTGCATCTCTGTTGGCAACATACAATTAAGAGCGTTGGAGCACATACTCAGCAATTTCTGGTGCACACTTTAGGGACCTGTCTCCATGTTTCCTGCACCAAAAGGTTATGTATGTCATTTATTTTCACTGAGTACTTACTATATATTGTTTGTATCCCATGAGTATTTATTATACATCAGTTATATACAATTATTATTTGCTGCGTGACTGTTGTTTTGTACATTATTTCACCTTAACTGCTGATCACAAATTTTATTATTGGT